ATGGAATATGGGGAAAAATGCACCAAATTATTTTAAAATCTTCAACATAGGAATGCTACCAAAAATAATTTATTGAAACTGGTTACGAATGACGGAGTCACCCATGATTCACCAAATTATATTTTGAAGGAGGAAACAAAGTACTTTAAGTACGTTTCAGTCGCCTCCATCTCCTCTAACTGAAGCAAATTGTAGAGATTTTTTTTATATTGATAATGTAAAATTAACAGCCATACAGAAAGACTCATGTGAAGGTGAAAATAATGAGGAGGAACTTCTGGATGCAATTAAAGACTTTAAGTCCGGGAAAACTCCAGGGTTGGATGGCATACCAGTCGAGGTATACCAAACCTTTTTTGATATACTCAGAGGACCGTTATTAGCATGTTTTAACCACTCCTATGTAAATGGTAGATTATCAGACACTCAAGAAGAAGGTCTGATTTCATTATTACTGAAACAGGATACAAGTGGAAAATATAAAGATCCAGTCCATTAAAAAATTGGCGGCCCCTTACACTTCAGTGTTGTGTTGCAAAAATTCTAGCAAAATGTATAGCGCATAGAATTAAAAAGGTATTGTCGGACATTATTCATTCTAATCAGACAGGTTTTTTACATGGGCGATACATTGGAGATAATATAAGGCAAGTACTGGAAACAATAGAACACTATGAAAAATCTGGGAAACCAGGCCTACTATTCATAGCAGACTTCGAAAAGGCATTTGATAAAGTATGACTGGGGTTTATATATAAATGCCTGGAGCATTTCAATTTTGGACAATCTCTTATAAATTGGGTTAAACTCATGTATAGTAACCCTAGGTGTAAAATAGTAAATAATGGCTATTTCTCAGAAAGTTTTAAACTGTCAAGAGGAGTGAAACAAGGTTGTCCACTATCGGCATATCTATTTATTATTGCCATCGAGATGTTAGCTATTAAAATCAGATCCAACAATAATATCAAGGGATTAGAAATCCAGGGCTTAAAAACAAAGGTGTCATTGTACACTGATGATTCATGTTTTCTTTAAAATCCACAACTAGAATCCCTCCACAGCCTCATAGAGGATCTAGATACATTTTCTAACTTCTCTGGATTACAACCAAATTATGATAAATGTACTATATTACGTATTGAATAACTAAAAAATACAATTTTTACATTACCTTGTAGTTTACCAATAAAATGGTCTGATGGATGTGTGATATACTCGGAATACATATCCCAAATAAAATAAATGATCTCACTCCAATAAATTTTAATAGAAAGTTAGCAAAAATAGATAAGATCTTGCTACCATGGAAAGGTAAATACCTGTCAATTTGTGGAAAAATCACCCTGATTAGCTCTTTAGTATTGTCCCAGTTTACCTATTTGCTTATGGTCTTGCCTACGCCTAGCGAACAGTTTTTAAATTATATGAGAAAATTTTTTTTCCATTTTATTTGGAACGGCAAGCCAGACAAAATTAAACGGGCCTATTTATATAATGAATATGAATTCGGAGGACAGAAATTATTAAATATTAAAGCATTAGACCTATCACTAAAAGCTTCAGTCATACAAAAATTATACTTAAATCCGAACTGGTTCTCTAGCAAACTAGTAAGATTGTCTCACCCAATGTTCAAGAAGGGACTTTTTCCCTTTATTCAGATTACAACCCCTCACTTTCAGGTATTTGAAAAGGAAATAATCTTCCAAATATCACTATTTCTAAAACAAGCCATAGAAAGTTGGTTGCAATTTCAATTTAATCCTCCAGAAATTACAGAACAAATATTCCAACCGATATTGTGGTTAAACTCAAATATACTAATTGATTAAAAAAATGTTCTTTTTTTAGTAAATGTATAAAAAAGGTATAATCTTCGTAAATTATATTATCGGTAGGAATGGTGGAGTTATGTCGCACATGCAGCTAACAAAAACATATGGAAATGTCTGCTCTACCCAAAATTACAACCAAATAATTGCAGCATTACCGCAAAAATGGAAGAGGAAAGTGGAAGGAGGAAAAAGTAAGGAACTTGTCTGTCGGCCTTGCATTAAAGACCATAATTGGTTAAAGAAAATTGTGATAAATAAAAAAGTTTACCAGTTTCATTTAAGGACCAAAAGATTGACAGCCATCCCATATAGATTACAAAATAGTTGGGAAGAGATTTTTGACGTACCGATTCCATGGCATAGTGTTTATGAACTGATACGCAAAACGACGCCGGATTCAAAACTTAGAATTTTTCAATTTAAATTATTATATAAAATTCTTGCTACCAATAGAATGTTATTTGTATTACACAATCTTCCCAGCTCTGCAGATTTGGCTGTGAAGAAACAGAATCATTAGATAATTTGTTTTGGTACTGTCCATTTGTAGCTTGTTTCTGGACACAGGTCCAGGAATGGCTGAAGGATTGCAATATTTGCATGGAGCTGACCCTGCAGATAGCACTACTGGGTGATCTGAAAAGTCATAGTCAATCGATCAATAATATAATGATACTTTTAGCAAAGATGTTTATTTTCAATTCACAAACTGTAGAAACAATGAGAAGAGAAAGGTTCAGAACTTTTGTAAAACATCACAGTACAGTTGAAAAATATATGGCAAATAGAAATCCACTATGGATGGTGTTAAGAGATAGATGGGAGGTGTTGAATGGAGCTGAAGGATGGGACTAATAACAACAACTAATAACAACAAGATAACTAGTGTAAGACATGCTGTGTCCATAATAAGTATATAGGTTATATATTGTGAGCTTTTGTGAAAGAGCACAGTTAGAAAGATATGGCATATAGAAGCATACCAGATGGACATCATGAAAATGATCGGAGGAAGTTCAGGAGTAAAAACAAACAAAATATAATAATTGACTGTGTCCATAAAATGTATATAGTATGTATAAGCATGAAGTAGAGGCCTAAGCATTGTTGTTCACTAGTTTACTCCAATTAGGGAAGGGATGGTGGGGTTGGAAAGTAATAAAAGGGAAATATATATATTTTTTAAAGGATATGTATGTATATATATATGTATGTATATGCATGTATGTATGTGTATTTATGTGTGTATATATATATATATATATATATATATACAGTTGGGAAAAAAAGTATTTAGTCAGCCACCAATTGTGCAAGTTCTCCCACTTAAAAAGATGAGAGAGGCCTGTAATTTTCATCATAGGTACACGTCAACTATGACAGACAAAATGAGAAAAAAAAAGTAAGTCTTCACAAGGTTTTCACACACTGTTGCTGGTATTTTGGCCCATTCCTCCATGCAGATCTCCTCTAGAGCAGTGATGTTTTGGGGCTGTCGCTAGGCAACACAGACTTTCAACTCCCTCCAAAGATTTTCTATGGGGTTGAGATCTGGAGACTGGCTAGGCCACTCCAGGACCTTGAAATGCTTCTTAAGAAGCCACTCCTTCGTTGCCCGGGCGGTGTGTTTGGGATCATTGTCATGCTGAAAGACCCAGCCACGTTTCATCTTCAATGCCCTTGCTGATGGAAGGAGGTTTTCACTCAAAATCTCACGATACATGGCCCCATTCATTCTTTCCTTTACACGGATCAGTCGTCCTGGTCCCTTTGCAGAAAAACAGCCCCAAAGCATGATGTTCTACCCCCATGCTTCACAGTAGGTTTGGTGTTCTTTGGATGCAACTCAGCATTCTTTGTCCTCCAAACACGACGAGTTGAGTTTTTACCAAAAAGTTCTATTTTGGTTTCATCTGACCATATGACATTCTCCCAATCCTCTTCTGGATCATCCAAATGCACTCTAGCAAACTTCAGACGGGCCTGGACATGTACTGGCTTAAGCAGGGGGACACGTCTTGCACTGCAGGATTTGAGTCCCTGGCGGCGTAGTGTGTTACTGATGGTAGGCTTTGTTACTTTGGTCCCAGCTCTCTGCAGGTCATTCACTAGGTCCCCCCGTGTGGTTCTGGGATTTTTGCTCACCGTTCTTGTGATCATTTTGACCCCACGGGGTGAGATCTTGCGTGGAGCCCCAGATCGAGGGAGATTATCAGTGGTCTTGTATGTCTTCCATTTCCTAATAATTGCTCCCACAGTTGATTTCTTCAAACCAAGCTGCTTACCTATTGCAGATTCAGTCTTCCCAGCCTGGTGCAGGTCTACCATTTTGTTTCTGGTGTTCTTTGACAGCTCTTTGGTCTTGGCCATAGTGGAGTTTGGAGTGTGACTGTTTGAGGTTGTGGACAGGTGTCTTTTATACTGATAACAAGTTCAAACAGGTGCCATTAATACAGGTAACGAGTGGAGGACAGAGGAGCCTCTTAAAGAAGAAGTTACAGGTCTGTGAGAGCCAGAAATCTTGCTTGTTTGTAGGTGACCAAATACTTATTTTCCTCCATAATTTGCAAATAAATTCATAAAAAATCCTACAATGTGATTTTCTGGATTTCTTTTCCTCAATTTGTCTGTCATAGTTGACGTGTACCTATGATGAAAATTACAGGCCTCTCTCATCTTTTTAAGTGGGAGAACTTGCACAATTGGTGGCTGACTAAATACTTTTTTTCCCCACTGTATATATGCGAGAAAAAAAAACATATGGGGGATTGGAAGTGATGCAGACAATTACATTGATGGAAGTTACAATCTATCTGCAATATTAAAGCTGATCTACCCCCTAAAATTTTTTTATAATAATAATAATAAAAAACTAACAAAAAAACTTATAGTGTAACATACTGGAGGAAAACTCTGATTTCCATAGATTACTTACCATAAGATAACAATTTTACATTTAAGTCATTTAGCAGAGCGACTTACAAATTGGACAATGATATAACTTTCATATTTAACCCAATTGTAAATCTTGAATCAAGTAAAAATGACATTTCATACAGCACATCTTTAATATATTTTATCATGCTAGCCTTGTAAAATTGATGTTCAATGCTAGATCAGGTATTAAAGCATTGATGTTTCCTATGTTGGGAAGACGCAGGTGGAGTGTTCCAGGTCAAACCAGCAACTGAGAACTCTCTGAGGATCCTGACTGCTGTCATTGATGGCATGAGACACTGGAGCCAGTTCAAGGACATAGCCCCGTACCTATTCACGATTTTCGGTAAGTTTTCATACAAGTCTGTCTCGTCACTAACATTGTATTTACTATTACCTGTACTGTATTTACAAAATGTGTGTATGTTATTCTATTTTATTATTTTCTAATCTATTCTATGTTCCTCCCACAGCTACTCTTGACTCTGCAGTCACCGCCGGGTCTCATGGAGCTAAGAACTTCCTCATGAGAGATGGGAAAGAGGTGATGCAGTGTGTCTTCTATGAAAATGTGAGTCAGAAAAACACTTCCTCTTTAATAGGAAAGTGAGACATACAATAGCAGGTCAAGGGCTGTCGAGTTAATCAGAGGACAACATTATATTACTTAATGTTCACCAAATGAATTGGAGTTATTTTTAAGGCCAAAAAAACAATATTTTCAACATCAAGAACTTTGTAGATTAGAATTTTATTTCCACAGGATTCTTACCAACTGCTACTGATCATCAGCGTCATAAAGCAGTAGTTTGTTTTGATATGGCTTGAGGATATGTATTCTCAAATCGTACTGTTCCTCCAGGGTGGATACCCATTATGTTAAATTTTACAGTGTTGTGCTGGACGTATACCCTTTGTGTCTGACCCATCTCTGCTCCATCCCCACCAGGAGCTGGACCTTCCCAGGCTGATCCGAAGCCAGGTGCACCACTGTGTGGGAAACTACAACCGCACCAGGGACACACTCACCTGCATGTCTGTCAGGGCCGCTCTGCCCTCAGAGCAGAGGAACGCACAGGAGTCTGTCAAAGCATCGGACGCTGAGATGAGGGGCCTGGTGAAATCACTCAGTGAAGTTTGATCAGAGGCACAGAAACACATAAGAGAGCTTCCCTCAACAGTTCAAAGGCAATACAATTGTTTTTGCCTATGGCTCCTTGTGAGTGTCACTATATGGCAAGTGTTCTCCTCTTCATTATAAACAGCGGGATCCTATATGGTAAACATTATCTTCTTTATTAGAAACTGAAGGATCCTATATAGAGTCCTGCTGTATGTACAGTGCCTTCGGAAAGTATTCAGACCCCTTGACTTTTTCCACATTTTGTTACATTACAGCCTTGTTCTAAAATTGATTAAATTGTTTTTTTTCCCTTATCAATCTACACACAATACCCCATAATGACAAAGCAAAAACCGGTTTTTAGAAATGTTTGCTAATTTCTAAAAAACAAAAAACTTAAATATTACATTTACATTGTTGAAGCACCTTTGGCATCGATTACAGCATAGATTATTCTTGGGTATGACACAACAAGCTTGGGACACCTGTATTTGGGGAGTTTCTCCCATTCTTCTCTGCAGATCCTCTCAATCTCTTTCAGGTTGGATGGGGAGCGTTGCTGCACAGCTATTTTCAGGTCTCTCCAGAGATGTCCGGGCTCTGGCTGGGCCACTCAAGGACATTCAGAGACTTGTCCCGAAGCCACTCCTGCGTTGTCTTGGCTGTGTGCTTAGGGTCATTGTCCTGTTGGAAGGTGAACCTTCACCCCAGTCTGAGGGCTCTGGAGCAGGTTATCATCAGGGATCTCTCTGTACTTTGCTCCGTTCATCTTTGCCTTGATCCTGACTAGTCTCCCAGTCCCTGCCGCTGAAAAACATCACCACAGCATGATGCTGCCACCACCATGCTTCACTGTAGGGATGGTGCCATGTTTCCTCCAGACGTGACGCTTGGCATTCAGGCCAAAGAGTTCAATCTTGGTTTCATCAGACCAGAGTATCTTGTTTCTCATGGTCTGAGAGTCTTTAGGTGCGGGCTGTCATGTTCCTTTTACTGAGGAGTGGCTTACGTCTGGCCACTCTACCATAAAGGCCTGATTGGTGGAGTGCTGCAGAGATGGTTGTCCTTCTGGAAGGTTCTCCCATCTCCACAGATGAACTCTGGAGCTCTGTCAGAATGACCATTGGGTTCTTGGTCACCTCTCTGACCAAGGCCCTTTTCCTCCGATTGCTCAGTTTGGCTGGGCGGCCAGCTCTAGGAAGAGTCTTGGTGGTTCCAAACTTCTTCCATTTAAGAATGATGGAGGCCACTGTGTTCTTGGGGACTTTCAATGCTGCAGACATTTTTAGGTACCCTTCCCCAGATCTGTGCCTCGACACAATGCTGTCTCGGAGCTCTATGGACAATTCCTTCGACCTCATGACTTGGTTTTTGCTCTGACATTCACTTGTCAACTGTGGGAACTTATATAGACAGGTGTGTGCCTTTCCAAATCATGTCCAATCAATTGAATTTACCACAGGTGGACTCCAATCAAGTTGTAGAAACATCTCAAGGATGATCAATGGAAACAGGATGCACCTGAGCTCAATTTCGAATCATAGCAAAGCGTCTGAATCCTTGATGTCTAAAAACCTGTTTTCACTTTGTCATTATGGGGTATTATGTGTAGATTGCTGAGGATTTGTATTTATTTAATCCGTTTTAGAATAAGGCTGTAACGTAACAAAATGTGGAAAAGGTCAAGGGGTCTGAATACTTTCCGAAGGCACTGTGGATACTTGACATGTTGGAAGATTCTTCCAGGGATGAGTAGTACATGATTCCCCATTATTTTGAAAGAGTAGTCTGAACTGGGTGGTTCAAGTGTGCAATTTCATCTGCTTGCTGTTTAGGACCAGCAACAAATGAAGATTGTGTTTATGAATTTCATAATGTTAAATATATAATTGCATCTATATCTTAGCAGATTATATATTTCATTATTTTTCTTCCCATTTGTATATAATACTATACACGTATTTCTAATGTTTCATATGTGTCATTCAGTTTTTGGACACAAATAAAACCCCTTTCTTTTCCTGATTTATGAAACATTTTATTATAAAGAATATTCACAGAACAGCAAACTTTGTCAAGAGGCTAGTTTCAGGTAAAACAAACACATTGATGAGGTAATATCTCAAAATGTATATTTAAAAAGGGGGGACCGTTAAGAATGAAAAGTGAGCTCACATACAGTTATTAGTTTATTTACAACCAACATACAGTATCACAATGGAAAACCCAATACTACTTTCTACAAAAAAACAGATTCACCAGTGCTGAGACTTGACACACAATGTTTCAACATATCGGGTAACAAATCCTGTGCAGCAGGTGAACCCCAGTTATTCCCAATATCAAGCACAGTACGAGGTCCAATACAAATACCAACATTTCTTTCCTGGTCTTCTTTTCAAAACATGGCAACACAATTACAGTAATTTTGTATGAAGACTTTTCCCTCTTTGTAAGTAATTTGGCAATTTTAAAAGTTCACACCAGCATTATGCACACACACACACACACACACACACACACACACACACACACACACACACACACACACACCTTGGAATACAGTATGTAAACTACCATTCAGAAGTTTGGGGTCACTTAGAAATGTCCTTGTTTTCGAAAGAAAAGCAATTTTTTGGTCCATTAAAATAACATCAACTTCATGTTAGCACAGCTGAAAACTGTTGTGCTGATTAAAGAAGCAATAAAATGGGCCTTCTTGAGACTAGTTGAGTATCTGGAGCATAAGCAATTGTGGGTTCGATTACAGGCTCAAAATGGCCAGATACAAAGAACTTCGGAAACTCGTCAGTCTATTCTTGTTCTGAGAAATGAAGGCTATTCCATGCGAGAAATTGCCAAGAAACTGAAGATCTCGTACAATGCTGTGTACTACTCCCTTCACAGAAGAAACCAAATGGGCTCTAACCAGAATAGTTGCAAAGAAAAAGCCATATCTCGGACTGACCAATAAAAAGAAAGGATTAAGATGGGCAGTCTGAGATATGGCTTTTTCTTTGCAACTCTGTCTAGAAGGTCAGCATCCCGTAGTCGCCTCTTCACTGTTGATGTTGAGACTGGTGTTTTGCGGGTACATTTATTGAAGCTGCCAGTTGAGGACATGTGAGGCCTTTGTTTCTCAAACTAGACACTAATGTATTTGTCTTCTTGCTCAGTTGTGCACCGGGGCCTCCCACTCCTCTTTCTATTCTGGTTAGAGACAGTTTGCGCTGTTCTGTGAAAGGAGTAGTACACAGCGTTGTACGAGATCTTCAGTTTCTTGGCAATTTCTCGCATGGAATAGCATTCATTTCTCAGAACAAGAATAGACTGACGAGTTTCAGAAGAAAGTTATTTGTTTCTGGCCATTTTGAGCCTGTAATCGAACCCACAATTGCTTTTATTGCTTCTTTAAACAGCACAACAGTTTTCAGCTGTGCTAACATAATTGCAAAAGGGTTTTCTAATGATCAATTAGCCTTTTAAAATGTTAAACTTGGATTAGCAAACACAACGTGCCATTGGAACACAGGACTGATGGTGCTGATAACGGGCCTCTGTACGCCTATATAGATATTCCATTATAAATCAGCCGTTTCCAGCTACAATAGCCATTTACAACTTTAACAATGTCTACACTGTATTTCTGATCAATTTGATGTTATTTTAATGGACAAAAAAATTGCTTTCTTTCGAAAACAAGGACATTTCTAAGTGACCCCAAACTTTTGAATGGTAGTGTATGTAAAATATTTGTTAAATTGGCTGTGTAGTGGAGAAAATTATACAATTTGTCCTTGGAACATGACAAGAATAAAATCATTATATTAGGAGGAACGGGATGGCAAAAAACACTAACCCATTAACTTATCTCAGAATGTAATTATTTTAAGCCATGCTTCACAAATTACGTGGATAATGTGTCAATTCAACACTGATAACTGTGAGCTAAGTTTAATTTGTACAGCTCTCAAGCTCTACCACTAATTCTAAATTACATGGTATATGTCGCAACCTTTTAATTGAGTGATTAAAGTGATTTACCTCTAATTAATAAATTGGTAAAGTGTCAACACAAGTACAGCTTTTTTTATCTGTCATTACCTTCAAGCTTTTAGAAGACATCAGCTTTTTTCTTCTATAGAACATTTTCAACAATGTTCAGAAGCACATCTTGAAACATATACAGGAAAAGTACAGCACACAGAGAAAATAACACAATGACAACTTTCTTACACTACAATATCCACAGTTTAAGCTGAAGTAGATGGTAACCTGATAATAATAGTATTGAAGTAACTTGTCTTGGTTCTGTTATAAAGGCACAAGTTGGTATGGTCAGAGCAGATAATCTAATCTAGATCAGCTGTTTTACTATTAACTAACCCCAACTTCATCTGCACTCTAGTCTAGAATTTCTAGACAATGCTGTCTTATCTAATTGCCTTTAGCCTGATTTAATGTAGTCCTGAATGATAGTGTATAGCTAAGATTGTGCACTGTTGGGGTCAATTCCAATTTAATGTGAAATTCAAATTCAATTCTTGAATTCACTCATGAAGTGGAAAATGTACATTGAATTAAATTCTAATTTCAACTATCTTCAAGTTATTGAATTGGAATTAGACTGTTTGGACTGTTTGAATTGGAATTGAATTAGAATTGTAAAAACATTTAATCTTGGAATTGAATTGAATTGGATTGAATTCAATATTTGTACATTTCCCAGTTAATGGAATGAATGCACATAGTATCAAACATTGACTGCATTATTTGTTGTAAATCATTTCAATGTGTATTTCTATATTTCCAGTATAGCTAGGCGGTCTGAACTGTGACATGACCAGCCTGAAAGCCTGAGGGAATTGAATTAGAATTTGTGGAATTGTTGGGGATAATATTGGATTGGGAATTTAATAACATTGGAATTGAAAGGAATTGAATTATCTCTAAATTCAACAACTGGAATCAACGACCTGGAATTGGAATTTAATTAAATGGAATTTACAGGGAGAGGG